GCCGGTGGGCGTGGACAGTTCGCTCATTCCAACCTTGCCAGCATAGCATGGAATCACTGTGAGAAACGAGAGGCGAGGGGTCACGCCGTGTAGACAAGACATAACATGTACGATGTACGAGAACATGATGACCAATGAAACCCGGTATGTACGGTTAGTTGCACGGAAATATGATACGGAATGAAACCACGAAACATCACAGACGGTAAATCAGACAGACGACATTTTGATTTGCGTCTTGAGAAGTTTGTGGCGTGGTGAGTCAATCGTGGCAGATGGTGACGATCGACGCCACGGAACTACGCGTTCCGGGGGGCAAACCAGACGAAAGTTGGTTTCAGCCATGTAGGGTCCCTGTATGAATGTTCCGTGACAACAAGCTATGACAAGTGTCGAATCACGCATGTCGAGGTCGTGGCGGCGTGGCTTGCAGCACCTACACAACTTGGTGGGATTCGTTATATGAGTTTCCCTCCGGCTTTGGCGAAAAGGTGGACCCAGAGAGCTTCACGTCAACTCAAGCCGGAGTTGGTCCTCCGGATGAAAAAACGGGTGGAAGACCGTTGACAATATTTCAGCTGCGAAACAGGGACGGCGAGCCCATTAGGCAAGAAACCGCGAGGTAGGTCCATGCAAAACGCGTAGGTTGAATGCGCTGCCCTTCAGGTTCAATCACAAGCGTTGATCGATGTGAAAGCCTCATGGTACAGTGATTTACGGTTTTTCGATTCATGTGGTCGCTTCGTTTGGCGACTCTGGCATTGACACGGTCGAACAAGCCGCCGTGATGTAGTGAAATTGTATTGTTTGGGAATGAATGATCCGACACCAGTGCCCGTCATGCTGGGGGAACCTACCTTTGAAAAACCAGGAATCAGACAGGAGCAAACAGGAATAGAAAAGGTACGTAGATGTGCAAGTGTATGCGCTTCGAGACAAGGTTGAAACGTTCCTCCAGAATGTACCGTGCTGCCACATGCCGCAGCCCTGCAGCCCATCCCATGTGTTTCTAACCCCCTGTCCTACACGCTAACCTACCATGACTCGCCTGTGCTTTCAGGGTAGGGAAGCACTTGGCGATCGTGCGCCAAGATGAGCTCTGGTGGCGCTTTCTGGTGGCGGATGCGGATACGTATCGCCTTGACGCGGTTGCCGTTGCTGCGGTAGGTGCAGTTACTCAGCGGAAGGACTTTGAAAATGTGCGTCGCCGTTGTGCGATTGCCTGTGCAACTGCTGCCGCTGAGGGTGGTGATGATTCGGCTGCAGCAACTCTGTTGGTGGACCTGCGGCGCCGCCAAATGATTTCATCTCATTCTACAAGAACGTTACACGGACGCGCTCTGCAGTTGGAAGAAAGCTAGTTTTATCCGCACTGTTTCGCTTTGCAGGGCGTTTCGCAGGCATGCAGTAGGTTATTGGTTTTGGGGGGGGG